CAGCAATAACTTTAGCACTTTAATTATATATAATATAAATAGATGATGTGTCTCTCATATGTTTCTGATAGGCAGTGTACAGCTCTTACAATGACATGATTTGGCCACCTGTTATATAGTATGAGTGTTTATTGTTCATTACAATATTACATTTATTTAAGTGCTGCACTGTACTAATAGCACAAACTTGATTGCTTAAAATCAAAAATAATTTTTTAATACATTAATTTCGGTTGTCATATATAAGGGACTGACCATATTTTGAAAAATTAATATAATAAATTATAATACATTTAAAAAAATTATTCTAAATGTTTTTAATTGCATATTATTTATTTTATTTTGAATATTTTATATATATAAGCTGATTTATTAAGTAAATAAAAATTATGACACTGGCAAATTAAGTTCTAATATAGTTAAATGTAATTTTTATTAAAAGAAACAATTTTAGTGAATGAAATGTAAATTAAAGATAATATGTTAAATGATATTTGTAAATTAGTAGACATTAAATTTTGTTTTTTATTTGGAAATTTATATCCTTTTCTTACAGAAATACTTAAACAACTTTTACTCTTGAGTTAGAACTATATAAGAACTATATATAAAAATGATTTTAACAATACTTTAATATTTTTGAACAGTGTGCTTCATACTATACCATAAAATTCTATTAAGTTTCATACATTGTTTACTAATTTATTATATAAACCATGGTAATTTAAAAATGTTATTACTATCATGCATACTTAATTTACATGCGTACAAAATTTAACAAAGACCTTATAATAAAATATATATTTATATCTAAAATTTGCTGATATCAGTACTCATGCATGGTATATATTGAATAGTTATAATTTAAATTTTAATTTTTGAACTTTGTAGATCCATTTGATCAATTATTTATTCTATAAGAAATTAAAGATATATCAAATAATATTTTTATATTATAAATATAATGAACTGCACATAAATAAGAAATCTATAAATTATTTTAATCAGTTATTTAAAAGCATTCAATTAAAATTTTATTCAGACAATTAAAATTTAGGTTTTTTTTAAATTGTAAAATCAAAATTATTCAAACTTCTCCAGATAATAGGTTTAATGAATTAATATGGTATATTCATTCATTCATTCAACCCATTTTGCTGGAAAGTGTGAATGGTTTTGATTTTACAAGTTATCTGTTCCAGCTTTGATTTTGAATTTTTTTTTTAATATTTAGAATGAATTATAATTTCAACAATTATTATTCATAAATACATATAGGATAAACCAATGAAGCAGACAATTTTGAAACATTATAATTTATTATACTTATTGATTTAAGCAACTTTACTTACTCAAAATCTAAACCACATACAATTGAATTTAAGTGTATATCTCATAACTGAATACAATATCCCAAAGATGATTTCCATTTATTGCATACATTCTTCAAGTCTAGAATATATGTTGCCCATTGTATGGCATAGCAAATGCAAGAAGATTCTAGCAACACAAATTGCTGCTAACCATTGTATGGTTGGCAACACAGTTCCATATTATTATTATTTTTTAAATTAATAATGAGAATTTTGTTATTGTCACTGCAGCAAGATGTATCTGAAAGAGTAAACTCAAAATTAATCCATAGGCATGGCTTCAGCAAGATAGAGTGACCAGTCACATGACAAAATAATTAACAAAAGCAGTCAAATGTTTGTTCACAAATCATATCATTTCCCGGTACAAGGATGTTCAATGGCCTATGAAATCAAATCTAATAGTTTGCAATTTCTTTTTGTGGAACTACTTAACAAGCAGTATTCAGTGACCTAAGTCCACCTTACAGTACATGGAGGGACTCATAGAAAAAAATTGTTGTTTTTTTTTTTTTTTTTATCATTGTCACGGAGGTTTTTGAAACATTAAACGGTTTTCTTAGAAAAAAATGCACTTCTTGGGATTTTTTCCAAATTTTATTTTCCAAATTTCCTGAAATTCATGTTTATAGAAGAATTTTGTCTGATGTTAAGTTTACCATTAGGTGAGATTGTAATGTTTGGATGTATTCTGTGAGAAGTGTAAAGGCCAACAAAAAATAATTTTTGGAAGGAACATAATTCCATTTCTTTCTGATGCTATACATGCAAGTTGAATACTTCACCATTTAATGGTAAGTTTAAAGACAAGTTTGGGAAGATTTCTTGAAGGACTATTTTGTTGTTTGTCTGGCAACTAATTTGCATAGTCTGTACATTGACTGTGATATGTTCATAGATGGACTTGATTTATCAAACAGCTGCAGACTGAACAAATTTTATATGGCACATAATGATATTTAACTTGTTTAATTTAACCACAATGAAAATTGGTTGTTCTGGAAACATTGAAATAGATGATACCACTGTGAGCAAACAGAAGACTGAAAAAGAACGTTTTTGAAAAATACCAGGTGAGTTGTTGGTGGCGTTTGCTGCAAAGTTAATTCCTGTTTCTTGTATAAAGTAAACAACAAGTTTGAACCAAGTCTGAACTAGGTTATTAGCAAGTTTGTAAATGCAGGAGAATGTTTTGAGTTATAAATGTAGCATACAAGGAAGGTGTACCCAGGAGTGGGTCATGTGCCAGTGTGGAAAGAGCTAGAAACTCTTCTTTTGGCCACAAAGGTTACCCCAAGAAATCTGTACATTGTAAGAGGAAGGTTGTTGACAAGAGACGTTCCATCGTTAAAATGTTAAATTTTTAAAAATACATTTGAGTTCAGTTACACCTGAAGATGGCCTATTCTATTAGGTCGAAAACAGTGTTTTGTTTAATAAACATTTCTCAGCAACAGAAGGTGTACTGATAGTTCATTATGTTGCAAGAGCATTAAGAAAACATTAGAAATTTCTAAGAAGAAAGTTAAATTTACAAATGAATCAACTGAACTCTGTTCATCCAATTTTTTACCAAAGAAAATAAAAATTAAAAAAATTATAAATATGTCAATGGTGAGTAAATTTATCTTTTTGAATGTCGGTGTAATTAGTAGCAGTGTCAGTTGCCACTTTGTTTGTGGATTTCATATACACAAAGAAGATGGTAACCAGAATTGCCATCATAGGGGCTCCATAAGTAAAATTCTACCCAAAATTGTAATATGAATTTTAGTTGAATAAATTAATATTTCAAAATTTTTGATTAGAACTGAGTAAAAATGATCTATTTCAGATTAGAACAGAAACTATCTTTTGCTTTTATAAGATGCATAGATGAAACAATGAAAGATAGCAAGATGACTACAGACAGTATAAAAATTAAAAATGTTAATATTAACAATTATCTTCTACAGGTGACTGACATCACTTTTACTCTTAAATAATAAACAAACAATATAAAATAAATTTCAAGTTAACTTCCAAGATAATTAGGATAAATAAAGTTAAACTAAATACTTTAGTTATTTAGTAACTATTTTTCACAGAAAAAAAACTATATAATAAAATAAAACATATTTAACCTTTTCCAATCTAATAATGTGATGATCTAGATTAGGCATTTGCATCCCATTAATAAAATGCTTTTATTTTTTTTTATAACAACATAATTATATTATTATTGATAAAAAAAACATTCAAAAAGTATATTTAACAGGCAATGTATATTGTATATTGAAAAAAAAAAATATATATA